AAAATCGATCATCTCGAGTAATAAGAGATCTGCTCTAGTTTCATAACCACAGAATGTAATAATGCAGGACCGGTAGATCCGGTTCACAATAACAGAATCGCCTACAGGAGTGGATACATAAACAGGAGTACTCAAGGACTCACAAGAAATACCCAGGAATGGAGCAAATAGAGATGACACATATGAATACGTGGATCCTGGATCAAATAATACTGAGGCATCTTTGCAGCAAACAAAAATAATACCTGTAATCACAGCATCTGAGGCCTCTGCATCTGGTCTAGCCATAAAAGCATAGAACCGAGCTGGAGCGCCAACTAGCTGGTCTCCGCCTGGCTGACCTCCACCTCTAGGACGACCCCTACCCACCTGTCCTCCACCTCTTGGTGGTCGGACTACTGGTCGAGCAACTGGTTCGGTAAGCATAGGATGCTGACCCTGCTGTACTGGTCTACCCCGAATCCTTGGGCAAAACCTCCACATGTGACTGGGATCCCCGCACTCGTAACAACTTTTCGGTGCGATGGGCTGCTGACTAAGTGTCTGGCCCTGGGGAACTGAATACCCACTGGGAGGACCCTGAATAGCTGGTGGGCGGTAGCAACTCTCTGGTATAGCACTGATATAAGGTCGCACTGGAGCACCTCGAGGAGGTGGTGGTGCTGGAAATGGGGGTCTGCTGGACTGTCCCCTCACGAACTGACCTCTGCCCCTAGATGGAGCACCTCTGAACTCTCCAGAGTACCTGAACCACTTATCTCTCATAATCTGCTCTCGGATCCGCTGACGCACACCCTCAATCCTCCGGGCTATCTCCACAACTCGCTCATAAGAAGTACCCATCTCAACCTCTCGAGCCATAGTGGCCTGAATACCAGTATGTAAACCGGATACAAACCTCCACACTCTCTCCGCCTCAGTAGGGAGTATCATAAGTGCATAGCGAGATAATTCAGAAAACCTCGCCTCATAATCAGTCACTGACATCTAAACCTGGAATATACCTGTCCAGGAAGATACGGGTGAACCTGTCCCAAGTCATGGGTAGAGAATCTGCTGGTCTGCCAAGAGCATAAGACTGCCACCATCTACGGGCTCTGCCCTCTAGCTGAAAAGTAGCAAAGTTTACCCCATGAGACTCCAATATCCTCATGTTGTACAGTCTATCCTTGCACCGATCAATGAAATCCTGGGGATCCTCATGTCGCTCACCCCCAAAGATAGGAGGATGTAGTCTAGTCCATCTGTCCAATAGTTTCTGAGGATCGGCGGCTACAGCTGGCCTGGGCTCAGGTATAGCTGCTGCTACTGGCTGGGCTCCACCCACGGGTAGTGCACCCTGGGTCTTATATACAGCAGTTGCCTGTCCATGAGGCTGCGCAGTAGGGGTCTGTGCTCCCCTGCCTGCCTGAGATGTGGTTGGGTCTGCCGGAAATAAACCGGCCTAAGTCATATTTTCCATGAACCGTAGCATACGACCCATGACATCCTGAAATCCCGATGTATATGTGAAATCCACCGGAGCTGGCTCTGCCACAGGCACCTCACCCTGCTCCTCAATAATGGGATTCTCTGCTGGACCCATTGGTGGCATAACTGGAACAGTCCTGGGATGTCGTCGCCCTCTACCGCGGGCTGGAGCCCTCCCTTGGCCTCTGCCTCGGCCTCTAGCAACTGGGGGAGTAGCTCTTCCCTGGTCTGGAACTTCATTCGAGTGTGTTCTCACCATCTGTGAGAGAATAAGATAAGGATATTTAGTACTACATTAATTGCACGACAGAATATGAAGAAAGGTAATTTCCTAACACCCTATAGCCTCTTGAAGATAAGTACAGACGTCTCTGTACAGATCCGCAAGACTCTATTAGGCCTACTCATAACTTGTAAGACCTAAGTGAACCTAGTTCTCTGATACCATATTGTCACGACCAAATTTCACCTATAAGTCGTGATGTCGCCCAACACTACAGCTAGGCAAGCCAACCAATAAATTAAGCATACATTGATAAAATTTAAAACCAAGAAAATATAATAAAATCCAAACTCTACCAATGTGTGTGCCAAGGCCTGGTGTCACAAGTGTATGAACATCTAGTAGATTATACAAAATCTCAAATGCTGTCCGAAATAAAAATAGACATAATTAAAATACAAAGAGAGACACTAGTAGCTGCAGAACGGATCAGAGAAACAGCTCACTACTATGTCTCTGGATAACGTGGGTGTAAGACGATAGGTCCCCCACTAGTACTTGCCTCAGTTCTTGCACAAAAAGTACAGCAAGTGTAGTATGAGTACGTAAACAACGTGTACCCAGTAAGTATCAAGCCTAATCTCGAAGTGGTAGAGACGAGATGGGCGACTTTGACACTCACTATGGGGCAATAATAATAATTGAAATATAACTAGGATATATAAATCAACATGATTTACAGAATTTAAAATAATTTATTTAATCAACGAAAATAATCAAAAATTTTCAAATGCAACAATTCTCAATATATTAATTAAATTCGAATAATTTCTAATTTATCAATTAAATATCATTTTCAGGAATAAAAATTAATTATTTAACAAGAAAGAATAATAATTCATTAAATTCCAAGGATTTTCCAATTTATCAGTTAGCTTCGCAGGCTGAAATAAGCTATTAAAGTATCGTGTAATTATTATTATTATTAAGCACGATTTCTGCCGAGGATGTACGACCCGATTTAGAGTGTCATATACATTGCCGAGGAACGTGCGGCGTGATCCATAGATGCATCTATCCTGCCGAGGCGTTCGGCCCGCTCCACAAAAAAGGAGGACATTTTCTTATGTACCTCCGGAAGGAGAGTATATTTATTATGAGATAAATTCGGGAGGAAGAATAATTTCTTTTAATATTTAATTAATTTAGACAGAAAATCAAACATATAAATTTTTTCATCCTTTAATATTTTGATCTAACAATTCACAATATATATAAATATATCAAATAATATTAATTAAACAAGGAATACAATTTACACAAGCAATTCATGCTTTGAGTCCTAAACTACCCGGACTTTAGCATTAATAGTAGCTACGCACGGACTCTCGTCACCTCGTGCGTACGTAGCCCCCGCAATTATCAATAATTATTCAATTTAATCCTTACGGGATAATTTTTTCCTCACAAGATTAGACAAGAGACTTACCTCGTCTCAAAGTCCACTTTCCGATTATCGCATCGCGTAAAATTCTCGATTCAATGCCGAAAAATCCGAAACTATCCAAAAGTTATATAAAATAATTAATATATGTTCAATAATTTGAAATTCATCTATTAATTAAATTACTCTATCCAAAATGGTAAAATTCCTAAAATTCACCCCGGGCCCACGTGCTCGGATTCCGGAAATTTTCAAATGAAAACGTTACGCATAATCTCAAGAACTCAAATATATAATTTCTATCCAATTCCATAACTATTTTCGTAGTTAAAATCTCATTTTTATAAAAATCTAGGTTTTTCACCTAAACCTTTGATTTCTAAGATTTACTAATTATAATCTACCTATAATCTATGTATTTAACTCAAGGAGTGTGGAATTAACTTACCTTTCAATTGCTAGCTGAAACCCCCTTCTCAAAAGCTCTGAAATCGCCCGGAAATGGAGGAAAAATGGGCTCAAAATGTCTGAGCCCCGACTTTTTAATAGATTTGGCTCGAAAAGAAGAAATATACAAATGGAAAAAATAGTCATAGCATCTAAAGATGACTAAAAGGAAATACACAGATGGTAAAACTTTTTTTATTTGGCTAAAAGATAGAGTTCCAGCCATATTCTTTTTACATATTTGGCCCGAAAAAGAAGAAATAAGCGGTTGAAACAAATAATTATTGGATATAAAAAAAGAAATACAAAGCTAAGATTACATACACATGTTATATTTAGATGAAACAAGAAATACAAATTTGGAGCAAATAAATTATTTTATATGACGATGTGAAATTAACAGTTAAAAAATACCCCATTTAGAAGCTGATTTTTTGTTATTTTTCAGTCTCACCTGCCATATATATAATATATATGTGCGGGGCAAAGTAGGTTGATGCGCAAGCCCCCTCCTGTCGCAATGGTGTGGGGCGTCAGAGGCTGTTACCCCGTGGCCAACTCGTTGAAGTTCGACGCAGAGCTTTTTGGTTGTTAAGTTATAGCATGACTGAGCAACATCCAACAGCGTAAGTCCTTCTGGTTTGCACTAAAGTGGTTTAAGTAGTCCTCGAGGAGTCCGTTTATTCTCTCCGCCTGAGCTTTCAAAGATATGACGACCTAAGGCATCTGATGGATCCCCGTTGGCAACAACCACGGTAGTAGTTGAAGAACTACTGGGCCGGGAGAGGACAACCTCTTGTTCCCGCTCCTCTTTCTTCGCTTCGGGGACGGAGGTCCTATAGTAGGTAACAGTAGGCACAAGCAAGTTGACTGAAGGGGATCAACGCTTCTACTCCTCCACCGAGGAGTCGTTCTTATATGTAAATTAAGGTATCAACTATATAAATCCTCACTATCCATGTCGTTCATGTGAGTTCATTCCTAGTCTTAATATATGTGCATACTTCATAAAATTTTCTTCTAAGTTTTCTACAAAGCATATATTTCCTCTGTTCCATTTCATATGGCAAACTTTCCTTTAGTATGTTCCAAGAGTAGCGATATATATACTTGAGGGATCGGTCTCCAACACCCGATGTCGTAAATTTTTATTTAAGTTTTCTACAAAGTATATAGTATTCTGTTTCGTTTCATATGATACTCTTTGCTTTACTATGTTCCAAAAAGAGCGGCACCATTCTATAATTGGAAACTCGTTAACGTTAAACTTCACATGCCATAGAGAGAGAGATAGACAAAGAGAGTGTGTGTAAGGGGCAGTAAAAGAAAAAGAGAATATCCTGATACGTCCGTAATAATACCACTTTACTTCCACAAACACTTTAATGTTCCACAAACAAAAATATAAAAATACTTCAAACAGAAAGCTATAATTATCCTTGATTCGTTTTAGCCTCTGTGTTTTAGACACGATAAGGTAAGTAACATGCCTCTACTGTAATACATGATTAACTATACTTCTCACTGGGGAACTCTGGATTTGTACACCTATATCTGGATTTGTACACTCTGACCTTTTTACAAAGGAGGTAACTTTTGGTTTCTGCAATCTTCCTCGCGCTAGAATTTGCAATCGAGACTGTAGGGATACAAGATGGTGTCATTGCAGCTCGTATAGTTTCTCTAGGCAAATGGCACAATGATTTCACTGAAGAAGACTTTCTCATTTAAAGTGAGCTCTTGCACGTCCCGCTAAATTGGAGATGCATTACCTTTTCAGCACCTACGGACCGTGGAGAGCTATGTTCAGATTGAACCATCTCCTCTTCATCTGCAAAGGCATGAATACCTAGTTGTATCAGAACCTGTAATAATAAGCCAATCACATTAGTCGGAATGAGTACATAGTGAGAACAATAAGACGGACCTCTGAATATTTCTTGACCACCAGAAATGGACCGTGCATCTGTACAACCTTCAGTAAGCAGAGTAGAAGTAACTGATACCAAAATTAGACTTTGGTTCAAGAGAAGTGAAATAAGACAACTTTTAGATGTAGGGAGTATCACGTTATATACATTTCAATTTCTATTGATATATTTAGGGCATATGATAATACTGCATTCCCTGAATCCATTTGCTATTTCAAAGTAATACTCCCTCGGTTTCATTTTGTTTGTTATAGTTTGACCTGGCATAAAGTTTAATAAAAAAATGTAGACTTTTAAAACTTGTGGTCTTAAATATTACATAATATTTGTGTGGCTATAAAAACTTCTCATTAAGTAAATAATGAAATGTGTAATTTGTTTTAACCAGACTAATAAAAAATAGTGCCAAGCAACGTGGAATGGAGGGAGCTCAATCATCATAAGTGACAATATGTCGATAGAACTTTTCATGACCTACTTTCATGCACACAAAGGATCAACATAATTCATTAGTTATAAGTAGCTAAGCAGTTGGTAAATTTGCAGTGTGAACTACCCTAATTGGTGTGCTTATTTTCAGATGAAAAACAGATGTATTATCTTTAACTACTCCATATATACATGTGGTTAAGGGGTAAACTGCAATTATTCAAGAAAAATTACAACTGACTAAATCCCAAAGGAAAGAAACAGTCTAACTGACACATTCAGATGCAAATAAAATTTTCATTTTCTCATTATTTTTCATGTCTCAGAAATAGGAGCACTATTTTCTTAACAAGAAAAAGTTGAAGTATTACCTGTACTTTATTGTGCTTTCCCTCTTTTGTCTCTTAACTTTTTCCACCTTTTTTATAAACATACGTCACTGAAAATTGCCAGCACCTCCAAAACCCTGCTTACTTTGCGGTTACAAAGGAGCTAACTATTGGTTTCTGAACTATTCGTCGCACTAGAATTTGCATTTGGGATGGTAGATGAATCAGAAGGTGTCATAGCAGCTGATGATCTAGTTTCATTAGGCAAATGTCAAAATGATTTAACTGATGAAAATGACTTCTCATAAGATGAAGTAACCTTTTCCGCACCAGTGGACTGTGGAGATGTATGTTTACTGTTGATCAATCTCCTCTTCATCTGCCAAAGGCATGAACATTTAATTGCATCGGAACCAGTAATGATAAGCCAATCACATTAGTCAGAAGTATTTAGATGAATAAGAAGCAATCTCAATCTTAATGACACCAAAATCTCAAAAAATAAATAAATTGAAGTGTACTATATATCAAGTGTAAGAGAAAAACCATCTTAAGCTCTTCACCTCGCTTGATGTCAGAAGTATTTAGATGATCCTACAGATTTTGGAACGCTTCCTCAATTTTGGGTAGTCCACTATCTGCTATAGTTTTAAGTGAACCACCTAATAATAAGTAGAGAAACATGTTATTTACTATAAAATTGTACAAGTGAAGCATCCAGTGAATCAACTGTAATAACCCGGCCGGTTGTTTTGACTATTGCAATCCCGTTCCTCCATTTACTGCTCAAATTGTGAATTACAGTTGTTATTTGGCTTGTCGGAGTAATTGGTTTGGGTCCGGTTCCAAGGTTTAGAAATTAAATTGAAAATGTTGACCGGATGTTGATTTATGTGTAACGACCCCGGAGAAATTTTGCTAAGGAAAATAAGATTTGGTGGTGCCGAGGTAGATCAATTAGTACAAAGATTATAGAAATTTCTCGCGGCCTCGGACTTTTTGGGTTGAACAATGCACCAATGTGTAAAGGAAAATTTTGTCGGAAAAAGGTCATTTCTGCGACCACTATGCGGTCGCAGAATCACTCTGCGGACCGCATAATGGTCGCAAAGTGGTTCAGGAGAGGGGCAAGATTTAAGGAAAATCTGCGATGCACTACGCGATCGCAGACCTGTTTTGCGGTGCGTTATGCGACCGCAGAACAAGGATGCGGGCCACATAATGACCGCAGACCGGGTCAGTAACGCCCAACTTTGGAGGCCAAATTATGCGACGGATATGCGGACCGCATACCTGTTATGCGATCGCATAACTGCGTCGAAGCTTCCATTCTTTCTAATTTTTGACCCGACCCAACTTCGATTTATAGCTCTTGAAGCTCATTTTTGAGCCAAAATCTGATATTTTAGAGAGAGGTGAGAGCATTTTAGAGAGAGAAAGTGAAGACTTAGTCATTTATCCATCAATTCTTGTTCAAGGTTTGAAGATTTCACAAGGATCTTGCTAGGGCTTCAAAGAGGTAAGAATTTCTTTCCTCAATCCTTCAATTTCGGGTTTGGAGTAAAAATGGGTGATTTATACTATGATTCTTAGGTGTAATAGTATTATGTATACATACCAATAAGGTTGTGGAAAGATTGTTAAATTCAAATGGGTAAGGATTGGATTTAAAATGATAGAAATCTTCATAGGCTTTAATTGAAGATTTGAGGGTCGAGTTGGTGTCGGATTTTGGTGAAATTTGTATGGTTGGACTCGTGGTTGGAGGAGCGTTCATATTCTGTAACTTTTGTCGGGTTCCGATACGTGGGCCCCACAGACGATTTTTGAGTTAATTTCGAATTTTATTAGAAAAAAATTAGTATCTCCTTATGGAATTAATTACAATAATTGGTACTGAATGAATCAAATTAATTGTGGCTAGATACGAAGCTTTCGGGGACCAATTCTCGTGGAAAGCGCATAGCGGAATAAAGAATTGCACAGGTTGAGGTAAGTAACAATTATAAATCTGGTCCTGAGGGTATGAAACCCCGGATTTTGGTGTCTTGTGATTATTTTGGAGGTGGCGCACATGCTAGGTGACGGGCATGTGGGCGTGCACCGAGGGGATTGTGACTTAGTCCGTCCCGGGAAACTGTAAAGTTGAATAGTTTATTGTTAGCTATATGATCTCTATGTGTTGAAGAAATTTGACTATAAATCATGTTAGAAATGNAAGTTGTCCGTGCAAGATATTATAGCACGTGAGTTGTCCGTGCAACACGTGAGTTGTCCGTACAGATTATGACGCTTGGGCTGTAGGAGCCCCTCCGGAGTCTGTACACACCCCAGTGAGCACGGGTACCCATTGAGTGTGAGTGTTGAGGGTTGAGAGCCGAGTGGTTGAGCTGTTATGATAAACTGAGTGACTGTTGCCTAAGAGGCTGTACTTGCTTTGCATTTGTTGTTGCACTTGGTTGTTATCTGTCATTGTTGTGAAATCTCTGAAAGAATTTATATCGAGATTACTTGAAATTGAACTGTATAAAATTGATTTGACTTAAACTGCCGGATTTGAAAGCATGTCTATTCTTTGCTGGAACTACTGAAAGTGAACTATGACTGTGTAGCTCGTCATTATCTTCAGTTCCTTAGTTATTATTGTTACTTGCTGAGTTGGTTGTACTCATACTANGTAGCTCGTCATTATCTTCAGTTCCTTAGTTATTATTGTTACTTGCTGAGTTGATTGTACTCATACTACACCCAGCACTTCGTGTGCAGATCCATGTGTTCCTGAACATAGCGGGTGTTGATCATTTCGCGCAGTTGATTTTCAGGAGATTTTGAGGTAGCTGTCGTGTTCCGCACACCTTGTCTCTCCTTCTCTATCTCCTTGTTTACTGTATTCGGTCTCAGACTATTATAGACCATATTTTCCATATTTGTACTCATATTAGATGCTCATGTACTCAGTGACACCAGGTTTTGGGAGTGTTGTATCGGAAATTGCTAGATCTTTGGCATTGTATTAAACGTTACGTTTTTAAATTTAAAGGAAATCGTAGGTTATTGATGTTGTCGGCTTGCCTAGTACTGAAATAGGCGCCATCACGACAGGTTAGGATTTTTGGTTGTGACATCAACTGATGTACCTCCTCAATTAGCTTGCTTGTAAAGCTCAAGCAATGTTCTAATTACCATATTCTTTCAGCTTCCGCAATTCCGTTGATGTGATTTCTTTTGAGGTAAAAGGATATTGCGTCATAGTGATAGGTAAAACTGAATAAATCAAGTGAAATAAATATCACTTCTTATTTCCCAAGGGAAACTGTGGTATCGTGTTAAGCAAAGAAGGATCCTTCACCATAACATCTATTAGTAACTCTACAGTACTTGCATCAAATGAAAAGTCCCTTTCGGTCATTTCCTTCAAAAAAGTTGTCATTTCACTAATTGTGCTAAACTTCAGAAATCCTCGCACAATAACATTGTAGGTGCCATTGTTTGGCGAACAACCATTCTCCTCCATTTTTCTTAGCATATTTTTTAGCTTCATCTAACAATCCTTCTAGACAAAATCCATTTATAATTGTATTGTATGTTATCACATCGGGAAACAATCCAATTAAGGAAAGATTCTCAAAAATAGCATGAGCTTTGTCGAGCTGACCATTTTTGCACAATCCGTTAATCACAACATTGTAAAATTCAATATTAGTATCTTCTCTTTATATTTCCAACTTATGAAATAGCGATATAGCTTTCTCGACAAGTCCATTCTGAAAATAACCACTGAGCAAAATGATATTAGTGCATAAATTAGGTTTGAGCCATGTAGATTGCATCTCAACAAAGAATTTTTGCGCAAAGTCAATTCTTCCAACATCAAATAGACCTTTCAAATAATACTGTAGGTGAAAATGTCAGGTCTCAATCCATTTCGAGAAATTTCATGAAACAAATCCATGGCCTCATCCAATTTATTGTTCTTACAATATCCATTTATTAATGTGCTATAGCTAACAACATCAGGCTTAATGCTCTTATCTATCATCGAATCAAAAATTCTCCTTGCTCTATCCATTTGGCCGCGCAAGCAATATCCGTCGATTATCACATTGTAGGTGACTACATTTGGCTCTACGCCTTTTCCAATCATGTGTTTCATTACCTCCTCAGCATCTTCAACTTTCCCCTTTTGGCATAGTCCATCCGTCACTATGGTCAAGGTGCGCACATTTGGATAAATATTCAGATTTACCATTTCAGAGAGCAAAGTCATAACCTTTTCCCAGTGGCCAAAGTTACAGAGACCATCAATCAATGAGTTATATGTGACAATGTTCGCAGGAATGCCTTTTTGTTTCATCTCATTAAAAAGATTAATTGCAGCATATACCATTCTATCTTTTGCATAAGGCATGTATAACAATGCTATAGATGTACGCATTGGGCTTAAGGTTCCCTTGTTCCATTACCCTAAGCAAATCAAAAGTTTTTTTAGTATGGCCCCTTTTGCTAAGCCCGTTCATGACAGTCGAATACATTACTTCATTAGGCTCACAAATATTCTCTTTGACCAACTTTTTAAACAAGGTAACCGCATCTTTTATCTTATTTTCTACAAAGAGTCCCCTTACTAAGGTACTAAAGCTGACAATATCAAATGAAATTCCACTCTTCAAGTAAATGGCTAACACCGAAAATCCGCAGTCAGAACGATGCATTAGGCAATAACTGTTAATCACAATATTCAAGATGAAACCATTAATTGGGACACCCAATTTCCGCATTTCTTCAAAAAGGGAAACAACAGAGTAATGCTTCATATTTACCATAGACTTCAATAATTTCGAGAAGTCGAAAACAGAAGGATGAGGCTGCATTCTTACCATTCGATTGTAAGAGACTCACGGCGTTATCTAAACACTTGACGTTATCAAACCTTCTTGTTTCCCCAAATTTACCTTTTGCCGGAATGGACGTACTGCTATGAGATGAAGAATAATCTCGAATTGCAATTGCCCAACCAATACGTGTAATACCAGAAAATGAGATAAGCGGAATACTATTGCAAGAGTAACGCAACAGAAAAATTCTCGTCATCTTCAATGGCTAAGGAATCTCTCAAATTTCCGAAAGTGAACCCTAATTTTGGGTTGTTATAATGGGTCACATTTTTTAATCCGTAGAAAATGAGTCACATTTGCTACTTTTAAATACATATTGACCCATTCACTTTCAAATATTATTCATTTTTCCCCTTTATTGCAGTATTCCTATATAAAAGTCCATACGGTTGTACTATAGACCAAATATGCCCCATTCGTTAATAACCGTGTTCAGCACTAAAATAGGCACGTGGAAGGCCTGCGATTAATTAAAGTATCCCCTCTCCTCCACTTAAATTTATATCTCTTTTTAATATCTATCTATTTACTATTTATATCTATCTATATCTATATTATTATAAAAGAATAAATAATTTACGCTAAATATCGAACGATAAAAATATCCCTAAAATATTGATCGACTTTTATGTTCTTCAATAACTAAAATATTTATTCGAACTCTAAATAACTATTGAATATTGTTGTAAATTAAAATTGAGAACATATATATAATAGAAATTTGCATTGAACTCTAATACTAAACAAAGTGTCCTACCAATACGTTGATGTTCCAAAAGTTATACCAATCCTATGTAGATTAAAATAGTTATATCCACGTCCCACAACTAGCTAGATAAAGAGGGTTACAATGTCTATATGCTCCATAGAAGACCAAGGAAAGACAACTACTTGCTTCTTCTTTCCCAGGTAATGTTAA